TAATAGGTTTGATACTGCGGCCCATCCCCCACAACCCTCCACTGCTGGCCTCCCTCCAACGAGCACTCCACCTTCTTCCACTCCTCCTCCATACAGACCCCCTGTCTGCTCTTCACCACTGCAATCCACATCCACCGTCTCCACCCCTCCCCCCTGCTTCACATCCTGTCCTACAGAACATGAGGACCTCACCCCTCCCCCTACAGTCACCTCTACAGTGTCCTTCACTCCTGACCTAGTGAGAAGACAGCTAACCAGACTCCACTCTGGCAAAGCTGCGGGCCCCGATGGTGTACTCCCCTGGGTGCTCAAAGCTTGTTCCAACCAGCTGTGTGGAATATTTAGCCTAGTCTTCAGCCTGAGCATGCTCCTCCAGAGGGTACCCGTGCTGTGGAAGACGTCCTGCCTCGTTCCGGTGCCAAAGACTTCGCGCCCTAGCGACCCTCAGGACTACAGACCGGTAGCACTGACGTCCCATATCATGAAGACCTTTGAGAGGCTTGTCCTGGAGCAGCTAAGGCCCATGGTCAGGCCCTTCACTGATCCACTACAGTTCGCCTACCAGCCCCGCCTGGGAGTGGAGGACAGCATTATCTTCCTGTTGAACAGAGTCTACAATCACCTGGACAAGCCGGCGAGCACTGTGAGAATCATGTTCTTTGACTTCTCCAGCGCCTTCAACACCATCCGCCCGGCTCTACTAGGTGAGAAGATGACTGCGATGCAGGTGGAGGCCCCCATCGTGTCCTGGATTGTTGATTACCTGACGGGCAGACCACAGTATGTACGCCTACAGAACTGTGTGTCTGACAGGGTGGTCAGCAACACTGGGGCGCCTCAGGGGACTGTCCTCTCCCCCTTCCTCTTCACCCTTTTCACCTCGGACTTCAGCTATTGCTCTGAGTCCTGCCACCTTCAGAAGTTTTCTGATGACTCAGCAATTGTTGGCTGCATTGAAAAGGGTGAGGAGAGTGAATACAGGACCGTGGTGGGCAACTTTGTCACTTGGAGTGAGCTGAACCACCTGCAGCTCAATGTGACAAAGACTAAGGAGCTCATAGTGGATCTGAGGAGGACAAAAACACCTGTGACCCCTGTTTCCATCCAGGGGGTTCCTGTTGACACTGTGGAGGAGTATAAGTACCTGGGAGTGTTATTTAACAATAAGTTGGACTGGACTAGAAACACCGAGGCGGTCTACAAAAAGGGCCAAAGCCGACTATTCTTCCTGAGGAGGCTGAAGTCCTTTAACATCTGTGGGACGATGCTGAGGATGTTTTATGAGTCTGTTGTTGCTAGCACGCTCTTCTTTGCTGTCACATGCTGGGGCAGTGGGCTGAGGGTCGCTGAAAACAACAGACTGAACAAACTGATCAAGAGGGCCGGTGATGTTGTGGGGGAGCAGCTGGACACCCTGACCACCGTGGCAGAGAGGAGGATGCTGTCCAGGTTTCAGTCTATCTTAGACAATGACTCACATCCCCTCCACAACACACTGGTCCAGCAGACGAGCTCCTTCAGCAGAAGACTCCTCCTACCCAGATGCTCCACAGAGCGCCACAGGAAATCATTCCTACCTGTGGTCATCAACCTATATAACGCCTCCCTCAAGTGATTCAGCCCCCCCCCCCCGTCCGTAATTGACATTTATGCACTATTTTTGCACGCCACATATCACTTTACTTGGATTTATTCACTTTAATTGGACTTTTCACTTTATTTGGATTTAGTTTTTACATATACATAGATATACATACAGATATATGTACAGAAGAGCTATATGTGTATATATATTTTATCTCTTTTTATTCTTATTTTTCTATATCTTATTATATTGTATAGTTGGATGTGTGTATATATCATGTAAAACTGTAACTAGAGCGTGTAACAAAAGTAATTTCCCTCTGGGATTATTAAAGTATTTCTGATTCTGATAGTATTGAATTCAGGACCACATAGCCAAGCAGCCTGGGTCACATTGGAACAAATCATCTGTGTTGTTCAGACTGCCATGAAAAGATCAGATCCAGGTCGCATGGGGGCAAAAAAAATATAATAATTTTGGTCACTTCAGGCTGCTGTTGAACGTAGCCTAACTTCTGTCTCATGTTTTTTTTAGCTGCTGATGGTTGAATAAAACATCTCCTGCAGAGCCTTTTAGGAAGTCTGTGTGGACCTACTCAGACTTAGCATCAAAGAGAAGCAGAACATTTCTGTTGGCTGCAGATTGTGGACCAAACCCACATTCAGTTTCACCATCAGAGAAACTGTTCATATTATATAGCAACAAGCAACATTTACCTCTTTACTCTGTCCATAAAAACATAAAACAGTAAATCTATGAACAACTAAAGGATCCAAAACATCAGTAAGGTAAGGATGTTAGTCAGGAGGATCTGTCTGGAGAGCAGCTGCAGCTCAGAGGGTTTAAATCAACCATTATATTCAGTTTTTGGATGTTTATCCCTGGATTCTAATGGTTCTGAATCAGGTGAAGCTGCTCTGCCTGCTCTACATGGTGCTGAAGGTGAAGAGTCTGGTGGACCGCTGTAAGCTCTGCTGGTGAGACTCAGAAACACCTGATGGTCCACCAGCTGATCACATGCTGACTCACTGCTTTTTCAACACCTTTTGCTTTTTGTGAAAAAAGCAAACTGTGCCACATTCAAGTTGGTTTAACGTTGTTCTTTGCACAAAACACAGGCACATGTTTCTCTCAAAATGTGTGAGATTAATTTTTTTGTTCTTCCTTTGGTGTCCAGGCAAGGTTATGAACATGAGTATTTATCCATTTAACATAATTTAACGTCAAACACACATGCTGATGGTGCAGCAAATGGTGGCTTTGCTAAGATTACATCATCTCCTACTGCCGATAGGAACCAACCACCAGCAGAAAACCTGAGCCCAGCACATATCGCCAAAGGGTGCTGAAACACTCTTTCCTATCTGAAAGTCATAATAATATAAGTGCTTCATCATCTACAGCAGTGATTCCCAACTTAGGGGGAGTGTTGGCCTAGTGGATAGAGCAGTGTGAGATCAATAAAGTTCTATTATTATTATTATTATTATTATGCATGCCCCTAGTGGTCTGCCAGTGCATTGCAAGGACTAGATGAAATGTTTTATTTCTTAGGTAATAAATAGAACAGGGCTGGGATCTGTTTTGCTATCTGACGACCAAGTTGAAAAATTAAACAAGCATCTATAAAGCAAAAAGTAAGTTTTTCTTATATGTGTGAGTTCACCTGCAGCTGTGACACCAACCAAACCAAGCAGAGGAACAGACTGGATGTACAGAACAGCATTGAATCAGATGTTTTTACACTGAGCTTTCAGAGCTCATCAAAGCAGCTCAGGTGTCTTGATGAAAACAAAGTAAAACTAAATAAGTCAGTCTGACTATACTTTTTGTTCTCCATTTTGTTCCTAATTCTTCAAGCTTAAATGTGATTATCAGGGAGTTACTCAGAGGAGCTCCAGTTTTATAAATACAGATTTATGATTTTATTTATTTCTATTCCTTTCTAACTTCCAGGCAACATACTTCTGTTGTTTTTTATTTGAGATGGAAATAATAAAATGCCTACAAATTAAATGCTCAAATTAAAAGATCAAGTAAAATATTTGTATTTCATAAAACTTATTGTATATTCCACCTTTGGGCAGTCATCAATAGTTTTGACTGAGAGGGGAACTCATGGTGAGACAAAATGCCCAAAGGGGAACACGTGTTGAAAAAGGTTGGGAAACACTGATCTACAGTGTGAATAAAAATGTGTTTGGAGAGAAAATATCTGCTTCTTTGTCAGCAATTCCTTTAATCCACTTCACAGATCAACAGTCTATTAAAGGCTTTTTGTCAAACTTTAAACAACAGCAGTTTGTAAAAACAGTTGAACAGGGACAATGTCCACATTGATACCTATAGAGTTAATAATGGTATAGGCTACCATAATAATATTAAAATAATACTTGACTGACAGCAAATGTGTTTCAGTTTTTAATGTGGGTTAAGAAAATCAAAGCACAAATAAGAAAACAGAAAAATGATTTCTGAGCATTATGACCATTGCCTGAACAGATAACTGGAGCAGGCTGGCAACACAGAATAAATCACCATGGCAACTTTCTCTCTGCCTTCCATCTAAAACTGTGCATCATCAAAATTATGTGACCGAAATCCAACAATTAAGCAAAGCTATCCAGAAAATCACAGCATAATCCACAATATCAGTTTAGTGAATCAGACCTAATAGAAAATATAGTCTAGCCTTCATATTTCCAACATAAATGACCTTAATCTAAATAAGTGTCATGAGGCGAACATTTCAGGATTAAAATTATTACTCGTTTTCTTCTTTGCATTATTAGATAAACGGATCAGTTCTGTAATAAAGGTTTTCTTTCTGTCTCTCTCTGTAGTAGAGGTGGAACCACAGTGTTCTTGATGAATCAAGATGAAGCCAAACATCTGATCTTCTCCATCATCACATGACACAGAAAATGTTTCTGCACTTTGGATGTTAAAATACAAAATTTTTAGGAATAACTAAAAAGAAACTTTCCACATTTATCTGTAGTCAAGTAATGTTATTGTATGAAACCAGACAAACATTGTTCAAATCTAAAGGAAAATGAAATGACATCAGTTCTCAGTTAATGAGTTTTAATTTGTCCTCAGGATAACAGAAGCAAGTTCGGTTCATTTCATTCTCAGCTGATATAAAGAAGAACATTTGTTCTGCAGAGCAGTAGAGCAAAAATTAGAACATCCACATAAATACAAAAATTAAAGCAGAACAATTAGAGCCCAGAGAAGATTATAATATGTAGAAATATCACTGAGTCAGTAGAATAAAAGAAAACGTCAACAGTGATATCCTTTATGACTCAACACAGACACAAAGTTCTACATAAAAAAAAAAAAAGAAAAAAAAGAATGAATAACAGAACAGCAGAGCAGAGAGACACCAGAGCCATGAACCTAGAAAGGAAAATCTATTTGAGTTTACAGAACTCTCCATAGGAATAAACACCAACATGCAGCGGCTGAGTGAATGTGGTCTGGACTCTATGGAGGAGAGTCATGGTTTCAGAGACGTTGTAGAAGGAAAGAACACCTGCTGAGTGATCCAGGTACACTCCTATTCTGGAGGAAACAGAACCTGAGATGGAGGTCCAGATGTTGTTGTGACCAAATTTAAAATTATAATCATTATAGTATAATGTCCAAGATTTGTCATTATATCCAAACTTCCTTTCATTCCCACTACCTGTTCTGCTGATATCCTTGTATGTGACTGATACATTAGACCCTGACCTTGCATTCATCTCCCAGTAACAGCGTCCAGTCAGACTCTGTCTACTGAGAACCTGATACAAATCAGTGAATCTCTCTGAGTGATTAGAATAACACTGATGTCCATCAGTCACTGCAACCTTCCTGTTCCCCTCTGATAGTAACATCCCTGTGTGTGCTGTGTTTGGATCAAATGTGATTTCACGTGCATATTTTAAGAATCCAACTCTATTCTGTGGTTCTGGTTCTGACAGTAGAACCTCCTCCTCAGTGATTATCAGTGAGATGTTTGTCCATGTGTCTCTCAGAATGTCCTGTAGTTTGTCTCTGAGCTCTGACCCAGCTGCTGTCACATCCTCAAAGTGTCTCAGAGGACGGATATTGATGCTGGATGAGTGTGTAGACTCACTGAGTGCTGACAGTGAGGGGTAGCTGTGGAGAAACTGGTTGTGATCCTCTGTGTTTAAGAGCTGCTTCAGCTCAGCTTCTTTCTTCTTCAGCTCAGTGATCTCCTGCTCCAGCTTCTCCTGAAGCTCTTTGACTCGACTCACTTCAGTTTCCTGCTGGGATCTGATCTGCTGCTTCACATCAGAGCTTCTTTTCTGGATGAGACGGATCAGCTCAGTGAAGATCTTCTCACTGTCCTCCACTGTTTTATCAGCAGAGTGATTGATGGCCTCCACCTCCTGTTGAAGCAGCTTCACATCTTTCTCTCTGTCCTGGATTCTCTGATGGATTCTTCCTCGTCTCTCCTCCAGCTCTCTCTGCCTCTCAGTCATTTCCGCTGCAGCTGACACTGTGTCATGGCCTTTATGTTGTTCTACAGAGCAGAGATAACAGATACACTTCTGATCAGTACGACAGAACATCTTCATCACCTCATCATGTTGAGAGCAGATGTTCTCCTGGAGGTTCTTTGAAGGTTTCACCAGCTTGTGTTTCTTCAGTGGAGCCACATGATAATGGGGCTGAAGGTGTTTCTCACAGTAAGAGGCCAGACAGAATAAACAGGACTTGATGGCTTTCAGTTTTCCTCCAGTGCAGAAATCACAGAACACATCTTCATGTCCAGAATAGAAGGTATCAGCAGGAGCAGCTTGGAGTCCAGTCTTCTTCAGCTGCTCCACTAAAGCTGCTAACATGGTGTTCTTCTCCAGGTCAGGCCTTGGTATAAACGTTTTCATGCACTGAGGGCAGCTGTGGATTCCTTTCTGATTCTCTTCATCCCAGTGTGTTTTAATGCAGCCCATGCAGTAGCTGTGTCCACAGGGAATAGTCACTGGATCCTTCAGTAGATTCAGACAGATTGAACAGGAGAAGGTTTCTAGATCCAGCTGAACTGCCCGCTGCTCCATTTCTCCTCTCAGTCACGGTGGCTGTGTGACTTTAGTTTCCTGAAATAAGAAACAGGTTTGAGCTCGACTTTGGTCTGATCTACAAATCATGTGTGAGTGCAAAAATGCTGCAGCCAATCAGCTCTCACATTTAGCAGCTGTTAGTTCCACCCACCTTCAAAACTGTGAAATTAAATTGTTGCTTTTCTAAAAATCACTTATGAATTCTGATATACATATATATATGTATATATATTTTCAAATATAACTCTGAGGTGTCACATGTTAGTAGTTAAAATTGATTGTTAAAAAATAGCGTTACATAATAAATTTGGAGGTGTTAAAATGGAAAAAATAACTCTTTGTCTATCAACTCTGAAGTCCTATAGTGGATTTGACACCCAAAGAGTACATTCACAGACTCCATTGCTACAGGTACCGAACGGAGGAAAACTTTACTCTAAATTTTGCCGTCATGCAGACCCGTTTACCCAGCCTGGTAAATCATTTCTCTCAGATGGTTTCAAGTTTTATTCGCTTCTAACTCTATGGCATTTTTTGAGTCAAGTTAAAGCCGTGTGATAGACATTAGCTACATTGCTTTGGTGATAGCCTAATCATGTTTAGCTAACTTGTAAGCTTTGTAAAAGCTTTGAAAAAAAGGTTTGTAGACGAATATTTTATGTATTTTTTGGCTAAACTCATCAACATCGATACACCTAAAAGAATGATTGGGGAAATGTTATCGTCAACACATGGAGCTGCGTGAATCCCCATCTATCGGAAGACTGTCTCCTATAAAAATCGATGCAGCAAACGGCGGTTTAATTGGAGAAATTAACCTCCTCTGCAGTGCATGAATAGATTTTTTTGTTTAAATTTAGTTCTCTTCAGAATTTTGTTACAAAGTATTGAAATGGATAGAGGCAAAGGTTCCACATTGTTAAATGTTTTGAAAAAAATATTTTTCCAATTGTGATGCACTTTTGAAATAAATATTTGCTGAAAAAAACAAACATTGCTTCATTATTTATTTATTTTTCCAAAGGGATTCTTATATGTTCCAAAAAGTAAAATTTTTATCAACTAGAGAATAACTCCTATGTAATTAGGAAAACATTCCATGTGAGTGTTAATATTCCAATTCTAACACCTAGTTGGTGTAATTAAGTGTTAAATTATCAACTCCAGAAAGATTTATTATTTAACACTAAATAAGAGTTACAATGCCAACTCTCCAAAAAGAGTCGAATTAACACTCTCTGGTGTGGACCCACATAGACACTTCAAGGGTGTTAAAATCAAATCTGACTGTTGATTTGAGCATGTTGGATTTGCTGCGTAAAACAGCTGTATGGTTTCCTTATGAACCATCGTGATACACAAACATAATAATAATAGATACTATGGGTGGAACGGTTCACAAAATCAACAGTTCGGTTCGATTCACGGTTTCGTGGTCACGGTTTTCGGTTCGGTTCGATTCAGTATATGTTGATTGTTACACCGAAATCCCATAAAAATTTATGAAATTAATGAAAAAAATTCCCCCCAAAATAATGGATTGTAATTATTTTAAATGATCTGCGGAAACCCTGGATCATTTCCGTATGTTTTGCAGCTTTGAATTTAATCATCTCGCGCATGCTCTCTACGATCTCCAAGGGACTCAGAGGGGAGAGGACGGGAGCCACAGTGGAGGCTGTAGGCTTTGCTTTGAGCAGCCGGTCTGGAGCGCAGCGGGGCGGAGCGGGGGTTGCTGACGGAGTATGTGGGATTTCAGGGTTGCACAATGCTTGCACACTGTTGCACTTTTATCCACAACTTTCTTTCAGCCGTCATCGTAGGTCACTCTAAATGCAAAGCGCTCCCATACAGCAGACCTATAAAGTGCTGCTGGCGCGTCTTCCAACTCCTGTTCTTTCCCACTCGCCATACCCACACAATTCTACACAACAACTGATTTTTTTCCCTGCTACGCTAAGCTGCTTCAATTCTTCTTCTTCTTGTTTACTACTGGTGGTTGGCTTTGGTCGCAGTACCGCCACCTTCTGCTCTGGAATGTACCCGCGTCGCCTATGAGAAAAAGGAGCAGCGCATGAACCGAACGCAACACATGCGAATCGAACCGAGACAGTCGAAGCAAACGGTTCGGACGGTTTTCATAAATCGTCCCATCCGTAATAGATACTATAGACAGTATAATGCTTTACACTCACATGGATCTGCATTGGCTGTTATGAGCTGTCAGCTATGCTGTCAGGTAGTGATGTTATGAGATGAGCCGAGGCTTCGAGGCGTGTGTCGAGTAATGGAGGGTGCGTTTCCCCGAAGCGCGTGTCGAGGCGTGATTCATTTAGAGGCGGGGCCAAAATTAATGACGTCTGAGGCCTCGCTACAGTGATACCAGGTGACTGCTTTGGGAAGTGGTTCGGGAAGCACAAGAATTTTGACAGGCATCTAAACTAGGGCTGAAACGATTCATCGAGTAACTCGAGTAACTCGATTACAAAAAATTCTCGAGGAAATTTATCTGCCACGAATTTATTGTATTGTAATAAGCAATGCTGTTAAATACGCAGCACACTGGTCTAGCCGGAGGGTTTTTGTGTTGCACAACGCTACCACTTCCGTTAGCGCCTGGAGCGCTTGTGCTAAGTTTGTAGCTATGGAGGGAACCGGAGAATGCTCAGAAGGAGAACCCCGAAAGCGACAAAAAATGTCAAAAGTTTGGGAACATTTTAGGCTAAACAGAAAGGACAACACAGCGCAATGCATCCACTGCAAAGCAGAATTGGCCTACCACAACAGCACGACATCAATGTTGCAGCATCTGAAGAGAAAACACCCGCTACATGCATCCAACTCGTACACGGTTGCCAACAGGTAACGTTTATGTTCTCTTTGCTAACTACGTTGTGTGATAATCTGCCATGTTATAGATGTAAATTGAGGCACATTATTTTGCTAACGTTACATCTAAACATAGCGGTTACTTAACCGGGTGTAGTGTAAATTGTATGTGAGGGTGGAACTGAGAGAAATTATGCAGGACTTAATGTAAGTTTGTTAATAAAAATACGCAGCAACAGATTACAGGCATAAGCTGAAAAGCATTTATTTATTGGTGTCTTTCCATCCTATTTGTGGCACCCGAGAGGTGCGATCATCTTTAAAAAAAACATAAAAACCAAACAGACTGCGGCGATTGTGAGCAGGGCCTTAAAAAGTTTAATAGATTAAAAGTTCAATAATTTACGTAAAAAGACGAGCTCGCTAAAAGTGTTCAATAAAATACGTTAAAAGGAAAAAGATAAAAAAAGATAGATAAAAGAGAAAAGATTAAAAAGAAAGATAAAAATCCAGATGGTGGAGAGCAGCAGAGTCAATGGGGAAGTCTGTTAAAAGACGTGCACTTGGCGGGTATAATGGAGGGCACCGTCCACCCCAGCGCTGGGTCCTCGTTTCGGCACGCTGCGCGTGTGGGCCTCTCCAGCGTAGCTGGCCTGCGAGGTCTCCTCCAACACGCGCCTCTCGCCAGCGTGCCTCTGCGCCTCGCTCCATGACGGGCCTCTCTGCACCCCGCTCCGGTGAGCGTCTCTCCGGCGTGCGTCCTTGCACCTTGCTCCGGTGCGCGTCCCTGCACCTCGCTCGCTCCGGTGCGCGTCTCTCCGGCGCGCTCCTCTCCGGCGCGCGTCTCCCTCTCCGGTGCGCGTCTCTCTCTCCGGTGCGCGTCTCTCTCTCCGGTGCGCGTCTCTCTCTCCGGTGCGCGTCTCTCTCTCCGGTGCGCGTCTCTCCACCTCGCTCCGGCGGGCCTCCTGCCGTCAGTCCCCAAGGCTCTCCCGCTGCTTCCCTCTCACTCGCTCCGTCCGGCTCCCTCCAAGATCGGCCTTCCCCAACCAAACCTTCCCATGTCCGGTGTCTGTCCCTCCAACCAAGCAGCTGCCTTTTTTAAATCAGCGTCCCAGTCGGCACGCTGCTTAGTTGATTGGGAACACCTGTGCCGTTGTGGGCGTGTCCAGGTGTGTGTGGCAATGTGGCCTCCAAACAAAATCCAAAAAAACATGCAACACACAAAATTGAAAACAAGCAAACAAGTTCAAAAATAAAGAAAATCCAAAATTAGAAAACATGCAACAACTTAACAAAAAGGCCACATTACCACATCCCCCCACACTTTAATAAGGCCCGTCCCGGCCGATCCATAGTCCTATGGGAGAGCACCTTCCCATCTGATTTAAAAAAATAAATAAATAAAATAAAACCCGTTAAAAACACTGCTCACAACCCCGCAGTCCTACCAGCAACGCCAGATTCTGTGGCACCCGAGAGGTGCGATCATCTTTAAAAAAAACATAAAAACCAAACAGACTGCGGCGATTGTGAGCAGGGCCTTAAAAAGTTTAATAGATTAAAAGTTCAATAATTTACGTAAAAAGACGAGCTCGCTAAAAGTGTTCAATAAAATACGTTAAAAGGAAAAAGATAAAAAAAGATAGATAAAAGAGAAAAGATTAAAAAGAAAGATAAAAATCCAGATGGTGGAGAGCAGCAGAGTCAATGGGGAAGTCTGTTAAAAGACGTGCACTTGGCGGGTATAATGGAGGGCACCGTCCACCCCAGCGCTGGGTCCTCGTTTCGGCACGCTGCGCGTGTGGGCCTCTCCAGCGTAGCTGGCCTGCGAGGTCTCCTCCAACACGCGCCTCTCGCCAGCGTGCCTCTGCGCCTCGCTCCATGACGGGCCTCTCTGCACCCCGCTCCGGTGAGCGTCTCTCCGGCGTGCGTCCTTGCACCTTGCTCCGGTGCGCGTCCCTGCACCTCGCTCGCTCCGGTGCGCGTCTCTCCGGCGCGCTCCTCTCCGGCGCGCGTCTCCCTCTCCGGTGCGCGTCTCTCTCTCCGGTGCGCGTCTCTCCGGTGCGCGTCTCTCTCTCCGGTGCGCGTCTCTCTCTCCGGTGCGCGTCTCTCCACCTCGCTCCGGCGGGCCTCCTGCCGTCAGTCCCCAAGGCTCTCCCGCTGCTTCCCTCTCACTCGCTCCGTCCGGCTCCCTCCAAGATCGGCCTTCCCCAACCAAACCTTCCCATGTCCGGTGTCTGTCCCTCCAACCAAGCAGCTGCCTTTTTTAAATCAGCGTCCCAGTCGGCACGCTGCTTAGTTGATTGGGAACACCTGTGCCGTTGTGGGCGTGTCCAGGTGTGTGTGGCAATGTGGCCTCCAAACAAAATCCAAAAAAACATGCAACACACAAAATTGAAAACAAGCAAACAAGTTCAAAAATAAAGAAAATCCAAAATTAGAAAACATGCAACAACTTAACAAAAAGGCCACATTACCACATATTTATCTTTTCTGTTTGAACTTTAGAACAAAAAAGCAAGAGATTTGCTGTACTACTGATTTGAAACTTTACTGGAGGTTTAATGTTATTGTGTTATCAATAAAATGTTAGAGTTAAATGAGTTGTTTACTTAGTTCTTTTACGTGTATGTGTATTACTCACTGTCTACTTGAGTTTATTTCACTAAAATGTCAGAAAAACTGTGAACCTTAAATGATTGTTCTAAGAAATTTTACACTTAAAAAAAATTACAAGAGATTTTATTATACACAACAACCATTAACAATTTCAAGGGAACTTTAAAGGGGGAAAAAGGAAAAGCAAAAAAAATACAGATTTTATTACAAACTGTAGTTCTGCTGTCCACCAGTAGGTGGTGACATGTTCACATGAAGCTTCATGAACCGTTGGATCGTTGAAGCTATTTGGCCAAATGGTTCTATTGCTCTGTTCGAAAACCTAGGACGCGTCCTTAGAAGGCCAGATTCGAAGGCCGATTACGTCATAGCACGGCGCCGAGGTCTGGTCGGATTCCAAGAGTCCTCATTATGCGGCCTTAAAATGCGTCCTTCTTTTTGCCCGACTTGAAGGACAGGTCCGATGTATCCTCGGTACCCTTGGTTTACCCAGGATTCATTGCGAGACCAAGCAAGCAGTGATTTGCTCCGTGATCAGAGGAAATGTTACTTGGCGCCGAACAGTGGTGAAAATTGGAAGTACAGTTTAATATAATCCAGTCAGTGAATAGTTCCGTCTGAGATGAATGAAAATAATTGTTTTAATTGTTATTGAGTCAGATATGTGGCGGTAGTGTTTGATTTATCTAAAGGTTTTTATCTGTTACTGTATAAATGGGTTTGGCTGGAATTTAAGGACAGATTCTAATATATCTGCAGTGTGGGGACTATAAATCTGATAGGATTTTTATCTTTTTATTGCTGATTTGCACAATATGTTTAACTAAGTATTTTTTGTTGTTGAATATTAGAGATTTTGCAGATATATATTTTTTATACATACATTGTTTAGATTTACTTCTATCTTTCTACCCCTTTTATAGAATAGAATAGAAAATCCCTTTAATGTCCCACAATGGGCGAATTTACAGCAGCAGAAAGATTATTGAAAATGGTCACACAAATGTGGACCTTAAAAAAATGTATAAGAATAATAGAGAATAGTTAAAATATAAACAATAAAATACTGTAAAATGTTTTAACAATATAAAACTGGGGAAGAAATAACCAATATGCAGCTACGGACATTTTTACAGTAATGGATATTTGAAAATAGCAGCAACATGAGAGATGTGTAAAATGACAGCAGCAGGTTATTTAACTGACTAAGGTTTCTATCATTACATTTGATTTATTTGTTCCTGCTCCCGGCTGTTGGAACCTTTATTCCACTCTGGATTCTTGTTAATGTAGTCCTTGTTCACTTTACAATAAAAAAAGAAATAAATAAACAAACAGTTTTGAAAACTTCGGTTTCATTCTTTTCTTACTTTTTGTGTCAACTTTCGCGGTTGCTAAGCAACAGAGCTTACGGCGGTAAAACCCGCCGAAGGGTAGACCTGGTCGAATTCACAGCCTAAACTCTTCCGGTCTCCTTATTTTCAAGGACTTCGAAGGATCCAGTTAGGTAGACCGCGTCCTTGGAGGATGCAGCCCAGGTTTTCGAACAGAGCCATAGCCTCATGAGTCTTCATCTCACCATCACTACTGTCAGGAAACTTTCTTAACAACAAAAAATGCACATATATTTGGTAATGAAACATATTCACGAGCTGTCTAGCATTTAGTAAACCCACTACCAAAGACACAGGTGTGTTAATATGTGAAATCATACCTGAAAAGGGGGATAATTGACCGAATGAGCCACAGACACGTTCGAGGAAGAAGAACTGAGGAAAAAGTTCTTCTTCTTTACATTTTTTTGGCAGTTGGCAAACAACAAATTGATGAATTTCCGCCATCTAGTGGAATGGAGTGTGGACCTAAATGACTATCAGGAACTAAATCCTATTATACAAATGTGTGTGTGTGTGTGTGTTTTTTTTTAAATATTATTCTGTAAATGTTCCTGGCTGAATGACTTCTGAATAATTCAAATAGATCTAATTTAACTTTTGCTTTACTTAAATTTTGAATAAATTGCAGTCCCTCCTCCTAATATTTATTAAAGTACAACATTACTCGTTCAACTGTTCCATCTACCCCACAATATTCACATTTACCATGCCTATGTTTGCCTAAGATAAACAGAGCCCTGTTTAATCCGGTGTTACCAAATCTCAACCGAGAAATAATTGTTTCTTTTCTTCTTGTTCTTCTCATTTCTCCAGTTTTCTTTTAAATTTTATAAAACCAACGTCCTTTTTTCCTTTATCTCATTCCTTTTGCCATTTGTCCTTCATTATGGTTAATTTACATTTTAACATCCGATTTACTAAAATGAATAATTAAATCCACTGACAAACAGCTTCTTTTGCTGCCTTACCTACCTGTTCATTTCCTTTAACTCCATAATGTGCTGCTATCCATACAAAATGTATTATTAAACCCCTCATATTTATTCTATATGGTGTCTGTTTGAATTTCTATTAAAATATCTGGCATACTTTCTGACTGATTATACTGCAAACTAATTAAGGATGAACTAGCATCTGAACAAATAACTGCTAATAATATTACAATCATCTCTCTTGTATAAACCGAAAGTCCATCATTTATTCTTATCTTACGGAAGCGTACTGCTGTCACTTGAGAAAATAAATTTTTGCTCATTACTGGTATTATGAAAGCTACTCCTATTCGATGACAAAGTTCTTCTTCTTCTTTTCTATTATGGCAGATCGCAAGCAACTTTAAGCTGCATACTGCCACCTACTGTACATGAGTGTGTAGCAACATTACTTTACATCAAATTCTATTTTTTAATTTTGTATTCTGTAGATAAATAAATAATGCTTTCCTTAATCTGTGAATTTCCTGTATATTTCCTTCATTTCCCAATATGTCCTTAAGTCTCTATTCTTGGCCTGTCCTTTCAACCATCCTTCTCAATTTCTCCCTTTCATATTCATAAGTTTTTCAGTTCATCAGTATGTGTTCTACATTTTCTTTTTCTCCACATCCTTCACATGTATCATTATTTTTCCTCCCTATTAAATATGAATTGTCATTTAAATAGGTGTGGCCCACTCTTAATCTGATCATTATTACTTCTTCCCTTCTGTTTCTCTCATTAATGATTCTATATAATACTGATTTTTGGACCTTATATAATCCTCTTCCTTTCTTATCTTTGTTCCATCTCTTTTGCCATTTTTCCATTTCTTTACTCGTATTAAGTGCTTTAACATCCCCTTTCCCAAAAGGAATTGTAATGGTTATTGTTCCTTCTAAAGCCCTTTTTGCAAATATATCTGTTTTTTCATTGCCTTTTACACCTTTGTGTTCTGGAAACCAACATGACCAAATATCAGTGCCACCCCATTATAATCTAAACAGACTGTGCTGGAGTTCTAATACAAAATCTTATCTATCATTCCCTTCTCCCTGAATACTTTCTAAAACTGCTTTAGAATCTGTACTGAATCTGTCTGGTCTAACCTCCTCTACCCATTGCTTGGTATAACTGCCACCATTTCTGCTGTGAAAACAGATAGTCGATCTGATATTCTTTTAGAAATGCATATTCTAAACTCTGGTATATATATATTCCTATTCATAGGAATATATTTTCTTTGTCATACCAAAGAAAATATGAATGTATTAAAGCTACAGTGTGTAATAATTACAGGGATATACAGTCAGAAATGTAATATATTATACATAACTATGTTATTTATCATCATCTACGAGCTCAGCCTCTTAACCTTAATATTTGCGTTGCCTTAGAATTCGTTATTTATAATTACATAGGAGCGGGTCTCGCAGCCATGGAGGCAGACATCTTTGCGCTACGGCAGCGCAGAGCCAACAAACTAGCGATTGCGAGATCGCCCATTATGCTCGAAAGTAACTACGGCAAGTTGAGAGAGATGAACTGAGACGGTACTGAACACACAGACTAATGAAATACTATCTGTAAAATTATCTATGTAAACAAACCTCATCACTTGAGAAGGTAGGTGATGCGGACGTCATGGAAGACATTTTGTCCCGTAAAGCTCGCCGTACTGTTGGGGGGAGAAGCGGTGGGGGGGAGATATTCATGTTGCTGCGGTCTGCAGTCTGGACGTTAGATGTCGTTAAAAATTACACACTGTAGCTTTAAAACCAACAATATTCAAGTCTGTAATACATAAAATATACAGATATAATGATATACAGTAAGTACCAAGCTTGGGACAAGCTTCATTGTAGCCACAGCTGTCCCGAGGCAGAGAAAAAGAAGCCAGACTTCCCTACAATGGTGCCACCTGCCGTCTGAGGAGTTACACCATGGTTCCTTCTTTGAGGTGTCCGGCTGCAGACCTTCACTTATGAATCCCTTAGATATGATTGTTTTTTATTAATCTGTCATGTTTTTCATTCTTATTGAACATTCATCACAATGACAGAGTATTTTTTGTAGGTTACTGGGGAATGTGTAACACATGGAAATAAGTTTCAAAGGTTCTGATTGTATTAGGATGTGCTTAATTTAAACTACATTAATTTCATGTGATTTGGTTCATTTCAAAGTCACAAAGTTGTATGGATGTCCAGATCTGATATTAACATTGGAAACCTGTCTGAAAATAGCCAATAAACTAAAATCTAAATATATTGGCCTGTATCTAAAATCTCAGCTATTAGAAAGCTGATAGAAACACTATGCTTCTGCTTAAAGTTTGTGCAACCAATTGGCTACATAAATGGGTCAGTTGTTCTCTTATTACATTCCACAATAAAATATAAGTTACAAAAGCATGAATGATTTGTGCCAATATTGTTGGGATCTGGAGAAGTACCACCTTTCTCCAGCAGAGTGCGCCGTGGGTCTCCTGGGCTGGAGCCCTCCTGCACACCTGGTTCTCGTCAGCCCATCAGGAGACCTGCTCTGCTTAAGCAGCTGCCAGACCTTCCTTCAACGCCGCAGTGTTGACCAAGTTTGGTTAGCAAACCTGAGCCTCTGTGATTACTAGAATCTTTGTCTCCCAAGAGAAACCCAATTCTAACTTGCCTCTGTCTTCTCACTCACAGGAAACCTGTCTCTTGTCTGAAGCTCTGGATGAGCTTAGCCTGTTACCTGCCTGCCTGCCCTAGAGAGCCAAACCTGAAGATCTCACTCTGGAATCCACCTGCTGCTCTCAGGTTAAGAGCTGATCAGTCAAACCAAGGTCTGTCTTTGGAAAGTCAGAAGCTAGACACTGCTGCTACTGCTGAGCACTCTGAACCAACAGTCTCTGGACCCAACCGGTTCCCTCTCTCAAGGAGAAAGCCTGAACCTCTTCAAGGTATTTCCAGAAACATCTGAAACTCAACAATTCACCCGTTTATCTGGCTAATCAAACTATCCGTCTCTGCAGACGCCAGAGAAACCTGCCCGGACCAGTTTCCTGAATCCAGTCCATGTTATTATTGTGAAAACTTTCAATAAACTCTGAACTTTTATCAGTCTCCAGTGGTGTTCTGCATGTGGGATTAATCCCTAAAGCAACCATGACAAATATTGTATTGAGTCAATATTTGAACTGGTCAATAATCAAAGCTGCCATAGTAGTATTGTATCATTAAAGAAAAAGTTGCATTGGGACACCCTTAGATGATTGCAATGCTTACTGACTTTACCAAGAAGAGGAGTGTGTTGCACTGCTCCCTTAACTAAAGAGGAAAAAAATGATGAAGAGTGATGCACAGTGTTTAAAAGTATTCATATCTTCTGATGTGGGGTGTTTTTATTCATAAAAGTTGCAAACTACTGTAGAAAGATACTTGTGTCTCCTGGCCGTTTGTTGTAAGGGTGCTGAAATAATTGATCATTATACTTAATGGTCTACAAAGTAGACAATGAATTGATAAAAAGTGTTTTTAAATATTTAGTTGCTGTTAAAATTGAACTTTTTTTTTTTTTTTTACTTGGATTATTTAGAACAGTGACCTATTTTCTTTTTGATGCACTTGGTTGACCAGATGTTCTGATTTGTGCAGATACCAGCATGTAGCGGCTGAGTGAATGTGGTCTGGACTCTGTGGAGGAGAGTCATGGTTTCAGAGACGCTGTAGAAGGACAGAATACCTGCTGAGTGATCCAGGTACACTCCTATCCTGGAGGAAACAGGACCTGAGATGGAGGTCCACATGTTGTTGTGACCAAACTTGTAAAAGTTTTGAACACAATCTAATGCCCAAGATTTGTCATTATATCCAAATAAACTTCCATTTCCTCTTCCTGCTCTTCTGACATTCTTATATGCAACTGCTACAGAAACTTCTTTTCCTCCCCATTCCACCTCCCAGTAACAACGTATTGTCAGACTCTCTCTACTCAAAACCTGAAAATAAGTACTGAATCTGTTTGGGTGACTAGAATAAGACTGAGGTTGCCCAGTTCTTGTCACCTTCCTGTTCCCCTCTGATAGTAACAGCCCTGTGTGTGCTGTGTTTGGATCCAGTGTGATTTCACATGAATATCTTAAGAATCCAGCTCTGCTGGTTGGTTCTGCTTCTAACAGTAAAGCCTCCACCTCAGTGATTGCTATTGAGACGTTTGTCCATGTGTCTCCCAGAATGTCCTGCAGTTTATCTCTGAGCTCTGACACAGCTGCTGTCACATCCTCAAAGTGTCTCAGAGGACGGATATTGATGCTGGATGAGTGTGTAGACTCACTGAGTGCTGACAGTGAGGGGTAGCTGTGGAGAAACTGGTTGTGATCCTCTGTGTTTAAGAGCTGCTTCAGCTCAGCTTCTTTCTTCTTCAGCTCAGTGATCTCCTGCTCCAGCTTCT